CTTTTACTGACTATATTTCACCTATCAAAACTTTTGCATACCCCTGATATAACATCCACTCTGTATGGTAAATTTATAATGATACTGTACATGCATAAACGTACATGCATAAAGGTACATGAATAAACCACTAAAATAAATATACATGTATATTATCATTTTTACCATATATTTATATTATAATTGTTAATTTGTGAATACAATATAATTAAAATATAATTACCAACATCTCTGTTACTAACGGTGAGTAAGCTAATTTTGCATATATATATAATACTTCCATTTATGTGATATAAGCAGATATTTATAGTTTTATTTTACAAATAAGTTATTATTACAAAGTTATGTCTTATACGAGAGACTTCACCGGCAAAGTAGTGCTGATCACCGGCTCGAGCACTGGTATGGGCGCCTACATTGCCATAGAGTTTGCCCGCAATGGCGCGCAAGTGGTGGTCACCGGTCGGGACGCCCAGCGAGTGGCAGATGTGGCCAAACAGTGTCGGGAAGTGTCGCCTAAAGGTCTGAAAGCGTTGGAAGTGTTGGCGGATATAAGTGTCTCAGAGGACTGTCGGCGACTCATTGCCACCACAATCGACACATTCACGCGACTCGACGTATTGGTGAACAACGCCTGGAGGGTTGTTGCCTGTCAAGTAGGTGACCCGGATGTTATGGGCAAATACGACGATATTATGGACACATACCTGCGCTCAACTGTACTGTTGACTCACTTATGTGCCCCACATTTGGCTAAAACTAGCGGTAATATCGTCAACATATCGACCCCGTCGGCAGTAAAACCGGTATTTAAAATAGTCGTTAAACTTATTTGCTTTAAATTATATGAATTTCAACAACAGTGTACCAGGTATATTAAGCATTCAATTCTTAAAAGCAATATTTCCTATTAAATTAATTTGTCACTTAATTCTACGTCAATCCTATTGTTTTACATCTTTATCAGTAAAAATTAAATGCATTTAAAATAGTGATTCAATGAATTGAAAGCTTTTTTGTACCTGATGGTACAAGTTAATAATTTGGGACCCATCCAAACGGCCTAAACTTGAATAACTGGCTGACCAATGATCATTTGATTTAATTTAGGTTAGGTTAGGTTAAGACACGTCTATTCCACTAATGAAATATAAAATATGTACATTGGTCAATTAGTTTTTTGGGTTTAAGCCTTTTAAGGTAGAATCAATGATTTTTATATTTTCAAAAATCTATCGAACCATGTTGGAACAAAGTGTATCTAGACACTCAAAAATAAATCAATCAAAATATTCGGTACATCTAGAAAATTATTTAAAACTAACCAAGTTGAATTATTTTGACAAATACAGAAATATCTTTTTTAGGAATGATTTCGCCAATCATTTCCAAAAATCAGAATTTTAATAGAACCTATAATTTTGTGATCAAGATAAACAGATTTCCCTACCATCCCCTTTGGATTTAGGACAAATGTGGCATATTAAAATATTAATTTTAAAAACCATGTTTCTATATAAGTTTTAATTGATCTATAGCTCAATCTAGATTTAATGAAGTCTTGTGCCATGAGTTTTGAAGAGAAGTTTATATATACAGTATATAGAAATTTAGGTTATGATTCAAAATTTAAAATAATATTAAGTTTCAGCAAGTTGTTTTTACGGAATTTATTTATGATAGACTATCTACGCGTTTCCATACTATATGTCGAAGTGTGCGTTGGATATGTTCACGAAATGCTTGGCACTGGAGTTGGCCCACAATGGCGTCCGAGTCAATGGAGTCTAGTATTGCTTTTTAAACATTATTATATTTAGATCCTATTACTAGTATTAAACACATACAAACTACGTTCAAATAAAACTGGTATAATAACGAGTTTTTCTATGATAATTCCTAGATAAATATCTTATTTTATATGTGATTTCTGATTCTAAATCATAGGTAAATGTTAGATATTTAGATTGTTAATTTTTATTTTTTTTCTAAATTCTAGTTCTAATTTTCTTAGCTAGGACTCACCCAAAGCGTCTAAAACTCAAAAGAGTTAAACTTGAATAACTGACCAATGGTCATTTGACTTAATTTAGGTTACGACACATCTATTCCACTAATCAAATTAAAAATATGACACCTGGTCAGTTAGTTATTTGAGTTTAATCTTGTTCCATTTAAACCTTTTGTGGTTTGGGAGTTTTGAGTTTAAGCCTTTTGGGGTAGAACCTTTTTAACCATAGGTTCTAGATCAAATCGGTAATGGGATGCATGATTTAAGTTAAGATTATTCACTTATGAATTATCAAGGAAAATCGCTATCAATTCTGTTTAAACGTAACTGTATTTAAAGCAATTTTTAGATGCTAAAATATTATTAATTTCTATTATTTAGTTAATTATGTACAGTCTCTAAATTGCGTATCAAATGTTTGATCTGAACCTTTATTTCATATACACAGAGTATTTGTAAAAATTGAACACTTACCATTTATTACTAAATTTTAATCTTAAAGCTATTTGTAAAGTTAACTGCTAGAGGTCAAAGGTTAAACTATTTGGCCTTAAGCAGCTAATGCAGTATTAGATAATACTGTATACTGTACTGTTAAATATACTGTATATATTACTGAAATATATATTATACTGTTTCCGTTAAAACCAAAAGATATTATCCGTTTTATAGCAATTTTTACAAAAATTCGGGTTGTCAAAATATTTTACGTTGCATATGAATCTATCACTGTATTTTTGAGTGATATACAGTGCTTATCTTTTTAATCAGATAAGAAATAGTGCCTCGTTATCAATCCCCCGCTTTCACTTCATATGACTCTTGGTTATAGATACTGTAGAGGTAATAAAGTCTACTGAAAAACCTATAGTTCATTGCCGTATTTGTATTGGCCCTTGACACTGTCCGGTATATGATTGACTCATAAAATGAATTATGTTTTTGTTCATAAAGTCCGGCGCCTATCAAAAGTGGATTCTATGACAACTTGGGTCTAACGAGTGATGAGTTGGACGCCATTTACGAACAAATGCCTCAACAGATTCCGTTGGGCCGTATGGTTCGGCCCATAGAGAACGCAAACGCCGTACTGTTTATAGCGTCGCGTGACTCAAGTTTCGTGACCGGGAGTACACTTGTTTGCGAGGGAGGATTCCTATTGCAGTGACGCACATTGCCCGTCCCAGTCAATTGGCCTAATTTTTAGGGTGATTTTTATGTTATCCTGTTTTGCTTGATATAGTGCGCGCAACAATCTGTCACGCATAAATAATTTCAATCAAATAAATTTTATATAAATGACGTCATCCACAAAATACGCATGAAACATTGATTTCCTTCCCCCCTAGTTGAGAGAACGTACTCATG